CCTCGGCGGCGGACTCGGCCTGTTCCATTTCGTGTGTCCATATCTTTTTGGAGCTGTCACAGCTGCCGCGCGGGATGTGGCGCTCAGCTGCTCGTAAGATGCCTCCGCGAGGATCCAACCATGTGGACGCGGTGGCAAGGAGGGTTTCACACAACGATGTAAAACCAGGCCAACCCGCTTTACGCAGGGCAAAGGTGGCTTTCTTCCGTCAAGGCAGCGTGTTTGCTAGTCGTGGAGTCCCATCGTCCATCTCTACCAAGTAAGATATTCAGCAGTGGTCCGAGTCCATGTAAGGGGCGAATGTCCAGTGGGAGATGCGTAGGGCGCAATACGCAGTCACGTCAGGGGACGAGGCATTACGATGTGTGATCCGTGTTGCCTGTGTCGGGTAATTTGCCAGCCAAAATCCATATCAATTAGAACAGCAGCGAAATTATCGCCTCCAGTCCTTGATGGTGTATATGACTGTCCCAGAGTTCACGATGCAAATTCAGGTCACCCGCGATAATCTCTTCGGGCCCAAGCAACAAACGATATTGATAAATGCGGATTATTGACCAATTGTTGTGGGAGGGTTGTGGAGATTCGCCACGCAAATGCTGCGACAGCCCGGCGGAAATACACGGACAGCAATGGTCTCCAGGAGGTCAGTGCCAGGGAGCGACGGGCGCTCGCACGGTAGAGAGTGGCGCACCAGAACGGCAGCGCCACCACCGCGCCCAGTGAAGCCTGAAGGCAGTCATTATGGCCACATAATTTCGTCGCCACGCCACCACGGTTACTTATTTCCTGCAGAAGAACGATGTCAGGTGGACGCTGCTCCCATCGCGCCGAAAATGCAATCTTTTTTACGGACGAGAGGCCTGCAATGTTGAGCTGCCAAATAGTGATGAAGCCATCCTCCTCGGGCCAGGGTTCTTGTGAACGTCACCGCCACGGGCGATATCAACGGAGTGACCGCTGCGAAACGGTCGTGCAGTTCTGACCGACAGTCTGCAGGCAGACCGCCTCACCTCCCCACACCGGGCATGGCGTGGAACCTTCTCGAGGGGTGAAGTCACCTTGGTCTCCGTTGTGCTCGCAGCAACGCCCTGCTGCGGAGTTCCTATACGCAACCAAAGACCCAACACCGCGACAAGGCGCAACATCATCGCCGGGGACCGTGGATACTCGCAACGGATGGCGGTGTTGACATTCCCACGTCAGCCGGGATTG